TCCTAAATAGCCTTATGTTTTTAATTAAAACTTGATTTTTTAATTATAACTTCGAAACTATTAGTCGTAGAGAAAAAATAAAAACATTTGAAATTCTGAGACATTTTTACATGAACACGAATAACAATAAAACGTTTCCAAAGTGTAAAAATCTATAAAAAGTAAGTTTTTACAACAAAATCCGCTTAGTTTGTATTGCTGGTTGCCTACCTCATATTTTTTAATTTTATCAATGATAGCTAAAATATTTCTGCAAATTTGAACTACATACTTGCTTGATTTCGACGTGAAAAATCATGTTTTGGTAGTTTCAGGGTTGAAAATAAATTCCCTAAGTGACTTACTTATTAATTTTTTTGTTAAAACTTGAATTTTTTAACCATAACCTTGAAACTATTGATCGTATAAAAAAAATCAAAGCAAATTTAAAATTCTGAGACAAAAAAAAAATGAAAAAAAGTGGTTTGTGTATAGTTGGTTGCCTACCACATAATAAGGACAAAAAATTAATTTTTTAAAATTACCAGTCGTAGTTAAAAAATTATATGCAAAATCAAGTATTCTTAGTTTTTGGGTAGAAAACATTTTTATTGAAACTTTATTTTTTAAATATAACTTTGAAACTATTAGTCGTAGAGAAAAAATAAAAACAGATTTGACATCCTGAGACATTCAGAAACACAAATAACAATAAAACGTTTTCAAAGTGCAAAAATCTGGAAAAAGTAAGTTTTTACATCAAAAATTGCTTACTTTGTATTGTTGGTTGCCTACCTGGCAATACAAAAGTGATATATTTTCAAAACTATCAATGACAACTAAAATATTCTTACAAATGTAGGTTTTTTGGTTTATTTGAACATGAAAAATCATGTTTTGGTAGTTTCTGGGTTAAAAATAAATTCCCTAAATGGCTTAGGCGTTTTTGTTGAAATTTAATTTTTTTTTTTATCATAACCTTGAAACTATTGGTCGTATAAAAAAAATAAAAATTTAAAATTCTGAGAAGAATAATGAGAAAATGTGAGTTTTCTGTATTGTTGGTTGCCTTCCCTAGAATACAAAAAATTGAAATATTCTCAATATTAACAGTCGTAGTTAAAAAATTCTTGCAGATTTGAATTCCCTGATTGATACTTTAGCCAAAAATCGCGTTTTGGTAGTTTTAGGGTAAAAAATAAACTCCCTAAATCGCTTAGACGTTATATTTAGGATGTCAACATTATTTATAAAAAAGCCTCAAAATTGAGTAAATTACAACCTACGTCCACGGCGTCCGCCCTTCCTGCGCGTGGAGTCGCTGGGAATGGGTGTGACGTCCTCAATCCTCCCGATTTTCATATTAGACCTGGCCAGGGCCCTCAAGGCGCTCTGGGCCCCCGGTCCGGGGGTCTTGGTCTTGTTGCCCCCCGTCGCGCGCAACTTAATATGCAGGGCTGTGATCCCCAACGACTTGCACTTCTCAGCGACGTCCTACAACAGCCCCCTTAGTGACATAACCCCACTTTCGGCGACCACTCACCTGCGCGGCCAGCATAGCGGCGTAGGGCGAAGCCTCGTCTCTGTCGGCCTTGACCTTCATGCCCCCCGTGACCCGGGAGATGGTCTCGCGCCCCGACAAGTCCGTCACGTGGACGAAGGTGTCGTTGAAGCTGGCGAAGATGTGGGCGACGCCGAAGACTATTTCGCCCTCGCGGACTTGGGGCCCGAGGGAGACTTGGACCTCCTCTTTCTGGACTTTGCCTTTCCTGGGGGCCATTGTGCCTGAAATCGGGGGAAAAGTTGAGGTTAAGAGTGTTTGTGAGGAGGAGGGTTGGGGTTCTTGGGTTGTTTTCCGAGATCATCGGGCCGAAAAAGACGGTTTTTTGGGGGTTTGGGGGCATGGATGTGTTCGAGGGGGTTTGGGGTGGTACGCAGTGTGGGTATTTTTTGGCAAAATTGGGTTTTTTGGGGTAAATTTGGTAAAAATTGAACGATTGTGGACTTACAATGTGTTAAACACGGAGAAAACACTGTAGAGGGCGCTTGGGGAGTTGGGGAGTTTTTAGGTTTGGTTGTGTTGCCAATGTAAAAAAGTTACTAGGTACACAGTGGCGGCTCGTTGAGGCGAAAATTGGACGTTTTATTGTTTTAAAAGTGTTTTTTTCAAACCGGAAATAAAATGATCTTATTTTTTACATTTTTTTTACATTATTAGTAATAACAATAATAATAATAATAATAATAATAATAATAATAATAATAATAATAATACCACCACGCTGTTTGGCAGTTACAATGTTTTTATTCTGTTTTACTATATTTTTTTACGTTTTTTTACTTTTCTAAATCTCTTGAACCCTTAGGATTACAAATAGTTTAATTTTGGAAAGCGGGACCTTATGCCGCTGAGCCACCACCGCCGCCGACAATTTCAAAGTTTTCATTCAATATATTTTACACAAAATTTTTCAAAAATTTATTTTTCGCATTTTTACAATGTTTTTGTGCTTTATTAAGTCTTTTGAACATCCAAGAGTGCAAATGGACCATTTTGAAGTTTTTAATTTTTTCGATTTTTGTCGAAATTTTGGGCGATTTTCGGTACGCGGAGCGGTCTAATGCCAATAACTCCGGACTTATTAGAGATAATTTCTTATATCTGGTACCGTTGGAAAGAAAATTTAATTTTCTATAACATAAAAAAAAAGATCAGTGCTCTACGATAAATAGTTATCGAGAAAATTTCTGATAAAATAAAAAAATTCAAAAATATATATCTGCTTATAATTTCAAAACTGTTAGGAATTTTGCAGTTTTTTTGACGCCAGTCGATTCTCCGGAACATTTTACATAGGTTTACCTCAAAATATTGTATCATTGACACACAATATACTAATTAAAAAAAAGCAAAAATTTGTTAACATACCCCCCCCCCCTTAAAAAATTGTATTTTTGAACATGACTCCGATTCAATTAAAAAAAAACATTGAAGCTAGATCTAAAATTTTCAAAAACAAAAAAAAAATCATGTTTTTTTTTTACTAAAAGCGTACTTTTTACGCGAAATTTCGCTCAAAACGATGTTATTTTTGCATTTTTCAGCTAAAAACTCAAAAATAACGTAAAAAAACACCAAATGACGTGATTTAGGACTCGTTTTTGAGTGAAATTTGACAAAACAAACTGAAAATTGAACAATTTCGGTTGAAAATTATAATATTTAGGTATTTAACACATTCCTCAGTCAAAAAGGCACTTTTGTCTAGAAATTTCGCCCAAACAAGGCAAAATATTATGTAATTTTGGCTTTTTTCAAACATTTCTGCGTATTTTTAAGCTAAAACCTTTTTCTTTCATCAGAATATCAAGAAGTTGCTCCGGGTTATGGTTTCGGGTACAGAGCCATTTTTAGTTTTTTTCAAAAAAAATTCATATCTCAAAAACTATAAGTCCTAGCTCAAAGCGGTTTGTACAGGCGTGTTCTCCGGTTAATTTTACATATAGTGCAAGTTTTTCATAAGAATTAAAAATTTTTGATTTTTTTGTTAAAATCGGATATTTCTACCTTTATTTTTGACTTTCTTACTCAATATCTCAAAAACT